GTCTCTGCTTTTTAATATGCTATCTAGGTTGGTCATAGCTTTTCTTCCAAGGTGCAACCATCTCTTAATTTCATGGCTGCAGTCACCATCTTCAGTGATTTTGGAGCCCTAGAAAATAAAGTTTGTTACTATTTCCATTGTTTCACCAACTATTCATCATGAAGTGATGGGACTAGATGCCATGATCTTAGTTTTTTGAATTTTGAGTTTTAGCCAACTTTTCACTCTCCTCTTTCACTTTCATCAAGAGGCTCATTAGTTCCTCTTCCCTTTCTTCCATAAAGGTGGTATCATCTGCATACCTGAGGTTATTGATATTTCTCCAGCTTGTGCTGGAGAAATCTTGATTTCAGCAATCTTGATTCCAGCTTGTGCTTCATCCTAAAAGCCTTCCCAGGTGATGCTGGCAGTAAAGAATCTTCCTGCCAATGCAGTAGAGACAAGAGATGGGAGTTCGAACCCTGGATTGGGATGATCCGCTGAAGTAGGAAATGACAACCCACTCCAGTATTCTTGCCTGGAAGATTTCATGAACAGAGGAGCCTGGCTATGGGGTTGCAATGAGTCAAAAACAATTGAGCATGCATACACATGCACAAATAATGAAAATGACCCATTTATACCTTTAATCTGAGCCATCAGGGAAGCCCTAGAATACGGGAGTGGGTAGCCTATCCCTCTTCCAGGGGAACTTCCCGGCCCAGGTATTGAACCAGAGTCTCCTGCCTTGCAAGCAGATTCTTTACAAGATGAGAAGAATACTACTACCTGGGAATATCACTACCCGGGAAGCCCCATAGGAGCAGTGAACTGCTTTTTCAGAGTTACTTTTTTTAAAATATAACTGAAGAGTCTGTGCACAGGAAAAGAACATAAGTCTACTGAGATCTGGGTGATGGGTGTTTGGTGGGCAGATGGTCTCCCTCGTTCTCTGAGTCACACTTTCCTACATTCCAGTCTATTAGTGCCTATCATCCAAACTTGCAGTTTGGCAGAATTCCCATTTCTACTTGTCATGGATCTCTGGTGCCATTTGTCACATCTACACGCTAGCATGAAACTGATTCCTCTACCGAAGGAAACTGCCCACATTGACCTGACCACAGGTACTCATAGGACAAATGCAAGGGAAAGCATCGGCAGCAAAAGAAAGTCCACCTCATCTCACTTTGCTTCACTCACAGTGTTCACAATTCACACTGCATTCGTTTCTGAAATGATTTACTGTCAGTTTGGTTTGACCTACGGTCAAAATCTCAATGAAAAAGGCACCCGGAAGTGCACTCCTACAAGTGAAAAGCAAAAACCGAACTCTCACTTATAATCACTTATGATAAGGTGCAATTGTGTATCACCTTTGAGAAAATCATGCAAATTGGATTCTAATTGCATACCACAGTATGTAATACACCAGCAAATACAGTAGTCAAACAATGACTGTTAAATCACTGATGCCTAAGGGTTCATTCAATGGATTATACCATTAGATTATCCAAACCAGCATGTTCTCTCCTGGGAAGGCACTGCACCCTGACTCACCATTGGTACTGGACAGCCATCTCTCAAGCACACTGATTGGAACTGATTATTGCTAGCAGTTGAAGGAACTCCTAGAAATGACTTCAGAATCTGAATCACATTACTTCTATCCCATTCACCCATTTGATTAGAATTTATGAAAAGCAAGATACTAAGGCTCATTGAGAACTTTTTGTTTCTAATTGCTAGAGCAGATAAATATAGCCCTGGCCCAGTAGTATGAAAGGTCCACTGTGCAGAGCTAGGCGGCTACCACTCTATCCGCAGGTTGGCAAGGGTTTGGAAGGGCTCTGGGTTCTTGACACATTCTCAGGGAGGGATGGAGGTTGAGCAAAGAGTGAACACTGGAGAAAGGTGTGACTGACCCCTAAGGCAGTGCCAAGGAATTTCCAGGTGCCGTCAACAAGGTGGAATCAAGATTTCCAGGAGAAAGATAACAACCTCAGATATGCAGATGGTACAACTCCAATGGCAGAAAGTGAAGAGGAACTAAAGATCCTCTTGATGAGGGTGAAAGAGGAGAGTGAAAAATCTGGCTTGAAACTCAACACTAAAAAAAAAAGAAAAAAAGAAAAAAAAAAAAAGATCCTCACTTGATACAAATAGAAGGGGAAAAAGGAGAAGCAGGGACAGGTTTCCTTTTCTTGGCCTTCAAAAATCACTTCAGATGGTGACTGCAGCCATGAAATTAAAAGACACTTGCTCCTTGGAAGAAAAGCTATGACAAACCTAGACAGCATATTAAAAAGCAGAAATGTTACTTTGCCGAGAAAGGTCTGTCTACTCAAACCTGTGGTTTTTTCCAGTAGTTATCTATGGATGTGAAAGCTGGACAATGCAAAAGGCTGAGCACCAAAACTTGATGCCTTTGAACTCTGGTGCTAGAAAAGACTCTCAACTTGGGCTGCAAGGAGATCAAGCTAGTCAATCCTAAAGGAAATCAATCATGAGTGTTCATTGGAAGGACTGATGCTAAAGCTGAAACTCCAATATTTTGACCACCTCATGCAGAGTCGACTCATTAGAAAAGACCCTGATACTGGGAGAGATTGAAGGCAGGAGAAAGGGACAACAGGGGATGAGATGGTTGGATGACATCACCAACTCAATGGACATGAGTTTGAGCAAGCTCCAGGAGATGGTGAAGGACAGGGAAGCCTGGCATTCTGCAGACCATGGTGTTGCAAAGAGTCAGATATGACTGAGCAACTGGACAATAACAAATCAACCAACATAAACCTACTCTGATAGAGTTCATCCCTTTCAAATTAAAGTTTAAATTAACCCCCAAGAATTTAGAACAGTTGACATCTTTACTTGTAATTTCTGTAACTATTCTTCACTGTAAAGCAGTCTGTTCCAATTAAAAGCTAGAACTCTAAGCTCGAGAATAGAAGATAATACAAATAGTATAATCACCATCATCGCTGCCATCATCATAACAAGGAATAACAAACACTTATCATTTATATACCAAGCCCAGATTAGGCATTTCACATGTTGACTGACTCTTCTTCCAACAAGTCCATGGTGGCTATGATTATCATGCCAGTTTGCTGATGAGAAAATTGAGGCATAGCTTAAGTAACCTACCCATGATCTCACATTTAGCAAGTGCCATGTGGTGCATCCCAGGAAAAATGAAATCGGAATTGATTTCAACTGTACTCTGTCATCTTTTCTGAAGAGAATCAAAAGAATCAGAGTTGGCAAGCATATTATCATCAATATTACTAATTTAATAGAAAAAAAACACACATTTGCCAACAACTGTTAAGTAGGTGACCCACATTGTGCAGCTAGCTGGGAGGAGATGAGAATGGCTATGTGGTCCTGTTGCTTAGCCCAGAGCCTTTCCTCCTGTGCTGGACCAGCATGTATATCCCTCTCACTCATCTGTACCTACAGGAAATGCACCAACAAGCAAGGTCCTAATATAAGAAGCAGAGACACCCTCCCATTCACATATTACAGGATCAATACAACTAGGACAGAAAAATAGAGAAAGATGACTCTGCCACATAATACACACACCAAGCCCTGTGCCAGGGACTGTTTTGCACAGTCCCTCCTGCCATTGGTCTTTGTTCCACAGAGAAGATAAATAGTAAGTTAATGGATTAAACATGCTATAAGTATTGAGAAGAAAGTAAATAAAAATCTGTAAAAAAAAATAAATAACAGAAAGGAGAATAAGGCTTGTTTTTAAAGAGAGGGTTTTGAGAGAATTGATTTTGTCAACCAATGGTGTGTTCATTTAGTATAGAATGTACTAAATATAATTAAATAAACTGGGGGCTTCCCAGGTTTCGTTAGTGGTAAAGAACCCTCCTGCCAATGCAGTAGACTTAACAGACACAGGTTTGATCCCTGGGTTAAGAAGACCCCCTGGAGGGGGCAACCCACTCCAGTATTCTTGCCTGGAGAATCCCTTGGACAGAGGAGCCTGGTGGGCTGCAGTCTATAGCGTTGAACAGAGTAGGACACGACTGAAGTGGCCTGGGATGGCACAGCAATTACATAAACTGATCATGGGGGCAGGCATACATGGCATGTTTCTTTACTATTTTCTTAAAGCTCCAAGCTAAATGCGTGTGATGCCATTAATTATATAGAAATCTGGATTAGGTGAACCTATTTGAATTTTAGAGGTAGGTTGCTTATTCCAGCAATGAGCAAACTATAGTAAGGAGATCCATATAGAAGATAACTTTTTATCACAACTCATGCATTTGCATGTTGAAAATGAACTGATGTATGAATAACCTTGGTTATTTAAATGTGAGAAATGAGATACCAAAATTCAAAAATGCTAATTAATGCAATTGTAATCAAATTCTTATATGTTAATTTAAAAGAAAGTCATGTCATCGTATTATTGTGTATAAGTAAAAGAAAATTTCCAGTTCAGTCTGCGAACATATGTGTTTTTATCTTTGAAGATAAGATTTCCCTTATCAATGGAAAAATACCAAAACAAAATCATGTTTATCTTTATTCAAAGAATGTCATATAAATCAAAACACTTAGCGTAAAAAAAGAGGCAGCTTCCCAAGTGGTACTAGTGGTAAAGAGCCCACCTGCCAATGCCGAAGAAGACTAAGGTTCAAATCCAGGATCCCCTGGAAGTATTCTTGCCGGGAGAATTCCATAAACAGAGGAGCCTAGTGGGCCATGGTCCATGGGGTTGCAAAGAGTTGGACTCGAATGAAGCAATTTAGCACTCATAGTACATTTCTATATTTAATGGGAAATAGGTAATTCATTTTCTTGATACATTTCTAATATTATTTGTAGCAGATTTTTTTAAATTCTTTTAATAGAAAGCACTTGAATGAAATGTCTTTTGACAACTTTGAATCAGGTTATCTGTGTGCCTGCCCTTCTGACACAGTACAAATATTGAGAGACATCCATGTAACAGCTGGGGCTTCCCGGTACTGCCTTCCTTCCTTCTTTAGACCGTGTCGGTATCTGTGTCTGTCCTCACATTGAGCTGCATTGCCTTGGACCGGTGGTATGCTATCTGTCACCCTCTGATGTTTAAAAGCACAGCCAAGCGGGCCCGGAACAGCATCATCATCATCTGGATTGTGTCCTGCATCATAATGATCCCTCAGGCCATTGTCATGGAGTGCAGCACCATGCTTCCCGGCTTAGCCAATAAAACCACTCTCTTTACCGTCTGTGATGAGCACTGGGGAGGTAAGTCCAGTGTGGTCCTTACATTGATATGACAGCTGTGAATTGGAAATCTGATTTGCATAACATAAAGCTGACCTTGTTTATTTTATTGACGTTCATTAGTATCATTTTGCAAAAACATGAAGATCAAGTTGAAATCCAAAACAATTTCACAGAATCCCTCCACCCATTTTGAACCTTTAGATGCACGTCTATCTAGCTGTTGTGTTGTTCAGCTGGGGACTATGAACTTTTCTTTGGTAACATCGAAAAGACTCATTTATAATAACCTGAAAATGTATTTTGAAATTATCAGCATTTTATAACATGGTAGAACATTATATTTCCACAGAGGTCAGGTTCCCTAATGGGTTTCAAGTGCAACTGAATTTTTCATGTTAAAGTCATGTTCAGCCTGGAAACATGACTGTCTTGTCTATTGACCTATGTTGATCTTTGAGTCAAACCAGCTAAATATGCTTTCTTTATTCATAATACAGTAAATTGATAAATTTTACCACTGACAATTATTTTCTGATTTCAGACTTATACTAATCATGAAATTATGATCCTACTTGGTTTCCCATCTGATATCAGTTCAGTTCAGTTGCTCAGTAGTGTCCGACTCCTTGCGAACCCATGAATCGCAGCACCCCAGGCCTCCCTCTCCATCACAAACTCCCAGAGTTTACTCAGACTCATGCCCATCCAGTCGGTGATGCCATCCAGCCGTCTCATCCTCTGTCATCCCCTTCTCCTCCTGCCCCCAATCCCTCCCAGCATCAGGGTCTTTTCCAACGAGTCAACTCTTCGCATGAGGTGGCCAAAGTATTGGAGTTTCAGCTTCAACATCAGTCCTTCCAATGAACACCCAGCACTTATCTCCTTTAGGATGGACTAGTTGGATCTCCTTGCAGTCCAAGGGACTCTCAAGAGTCTTCTCCAACACCACAGTTCAAAAGCATCAATTTCTCTGCACTCAGCTTTCTTCACAGTCCAACTCTCACATCCATACATGACCACTGGAAAAACCATAGCCTTGACCAAACGGGCCTTTGTTGGCAAAGTAATGTCTCTGCTTTTTAATATGCTATCTAGATTGGTCATAACTTTCCTTCCAAGGAGGGTCAGTAGTTAAATTTAAACAATTAGAAGATGGAGGTGTTATGCTCCTTTGGTTCAGAACTCTCAGCTACAGTCTAAGTTCTGCAACAGTCTGAGTTCTGTACCAGTGGAACCACTTTTATCAGTGCCTGATGATGGCATGAATCTGGACATAGCAAAGAAAGAAAATAAAATAATGCTGCATTTCCCAGCACTGTTTACAAAATTATCACATGAAATTTTAAAAAAACTATCTATTATCCTCTGGTTAAGTATGGTTAAAAATAGTTCATATTTAGACACTGTAAACATTAGGAAAGCATTTGTCTATTGGAAAGATGTATCAATAGAGGCAGTATACCCCCAAGGAGAGCTGGCTCACGTACTTCTGACTTTCAAGTATTTGAATCTCTGAACTCATGTTAATTCCTAACTTGGTACTTTATTGGGACCCTGAAAAGAGAAAAATCAGGGACTGAAAAATCAGGCATATATTTTCACTGCAGCAAAATAAAACTCAAAAAATATTGCAATTACTCCATATATTATTCCAAAGACTTATAATAAGCAAAATTTCAAAATCTGCTTTATATTTTACTCCAGATATTAAATGCCCCTTTATAAAATTTAGTTTGTCCCTTCCTTTTTAACATTGCAATTCTTTTGCTATTTTCTTTCTGGATCTTCGATTTTTCACGAGTTTCCTCATTAACAATGCAGACAAAAACAAAATGAGTGGAAAGTTCCAAAATGATAAAAATATTTCTTAAGTGATTTTGGTCCCATTTATTTAATGTCCAGACAGCATCTTGAGTACTTAGGATATGCCAGAAATTGTGCCAACCTGGAGAGACATACACGCTGCCTAAGGGAACACGTTGCATATACTGAGGCTGAAAGGCAAATAAATAAAGTTTTATAGTGTGATTAGTACTTTAATATACTTAGATATAAAGTGCTAGGAGTGCAAATTAGAGGACAGATTCAGTCCGGGGCATTTGAACAAAGTTTACAAGCAGCTGCTAACACTTCAGCAAAGCATTAAAGATGAACAGGGAGGAAATTCAAGGGGTAGTTCATTTACTCAGGGTTTGAGCTCTGGTCACCTAGAATGAACTTGCTTTGCCTTTTGATTTGGCTATGTCTTAATATTTAAATGGGGCTTCCTTGGTGGCTCAGACAGTAAAGAATATGCATGCAATGTGGGAGACCCAGATTCAATACCTAGGTTGGAAAGATCCCCTGGAGAAGGGAATGGCTACCCACTCTAGTCTTGCCTGGAGAATCCCATGAACAGAGGACCCTGGCAAGAGTCAGACGTGGATGAGCAACTAACACTTTCACTTTCTGTATAGTGTTTAAATATCTCAATTATTTTTCAGTTTAAGAAAGACTAAAACTGTGGAGATTCACAGCATGGGTATGATTCTCTCTCAGTGCACAATTTAATAATTTGGTTGATTAAATGACTATAATCTACTCCTTTAAAAAATGAGCAAAGATTTTCCAGACTGAGAAGAGGGGAAAGGGAAAAACTACTGAGGGTGTGCTAGGAAGAAGGAAAACCCACACAATGGACACCATCCCTTGCAGAAGAAAGTAAGAGAGTTCAAACTTATAGTTTCTGGATTGCAGGGGTAGACAATCTAAAGAATTGTGTTTGGGGAAAGGTGGGCTGGGGATCAACTGTGACATGTCTCTTAGGTAATTCCTATACAATGAGTTCTATTTGGAAAAGAGTCTAAAGATCTCTTGATTCAAGTAATTTAGTTAATCATGATGAAGTTGAACCATAAATTAAATTATTTGTTCAATATTATGAAACAAACAAGTACATTTAAATCAAAGTGTTGCTGAACACAGGTTTGGTTGCTTGCCACACAAAAAGTCAGTAATTGAGAGGAAAGTTTCAGGATAAAGGGAATGTGATTCAATCAGAAAAGCTGACAATCTGGGGAGAAGGTGGACTTATGTCCCAAGACCAACTGAAAGATCCTCTCAGCCATGACAATTTTTAAAGGGAAAAAGAGGGAAAGGATCTTAGTGAATCACTGAGGCAAGAGGTTGGCTTCTGCATTTGTCTCCATTGTGTGCAGACTGGCTGACTCTCTCTTCATATTGTCTGGATGGTCTGCCTGCAGGATTGCTGTAGGAGCTACTGAGGGAGGTAACTAGTCATTCTTTCACTACTTAGTCCTTCATTCTTACTTCTTTAAATCTAGGAAAAGAACCAGCAGGCATAGTGCACATCCAGGAGAACATTAAGTCAGGAGTTAGGTTAAATTACCTAGTGATCTCATTCCTGTAATTAGATTCTATTAAGGCGTGTGTGTGTGTGTGTGTGTGTGTGTTAGTTGTGCCCGAGTCTTTACAACCCCATGGACTGTAACTCACCAAGTTCCTATATCCATGGGATTTCCCAAACAAGAATACTGGAGTGGGTAGCCATTTCCTTCTCCAGGGGCTCTTCCTGACTCAGGGATCAAACCTGGATCTCCGGCATTGCAGGTAGATGTTTTACCATCTGAGTCACCAGGGAAACCCACTTTGAGGTTAGAGGGGGACAGAAACGGGCAAAAGAGCTGCTTTCAACTCACACATTGATCATCTGTAAGTTCATGGAGACAGTAATTAGATTAAAATTCTCACCTATTATTCAACATGTTTCAGTAGTATTTTCTCTATTTTGGTAATTAGCTTCATTTGTAAGTTTGACAGACTGATTTTATAAACTTGTCTTTTTTTTAGTGATGCCCCAAATGATTAAGTTTCATTAACCCCAATGAGCAAAAGGATTGTAGAATTAGGGGATTCAGTTAGTCATTATGATTAAGTAAATAGCTGCATTATTTTCCAATTACCTTTAAGCAACAGATATAAATCCCTAAAACTCATCCTAACCTCACATGTTTTATTACCTATAGGTAATATTTATTACCTCTACTTATAGAAGGAGTATTTTCTTTAAAAAATAAGAAATTATTGTCAAATATCTAGAAACATAAATTCGGTTTTCAGAAGTCATTTAGAAAAGCTATTAGAAAGTGATTTTATATTGGTGTTTAATTATTCTAAATGTTTTTAAAGGCAAAGTAATACTGTATTGAGTTGATCATCCACAAAATCAAGCAATAAAAGATATTATATTCATTGTTCATACATTAAATGAAATCAATATAACTTTATGTTTTCAAGAAGTGTATGAAAAATGAAATGTAGGTTTTTATCATTCTGCTCATTAGATATCTAGTTTATTATACTGACTTTTGCATAGGATAAGTTTTGTTAATATAAGCTACGTATGTCTACATTTCTTTTTTTAATTAATTAATTTATTTATTTTTGGCTTCACCGAGTCTTTGTTGATGCCAGGGCTTAGTCTAGTTGCAGTGAGCAGGGGCTGCTCTCAAGTTACAGTGCAAGGACTTCTCATTGCTGTGGCTTCTCTTGTTGCAGAGCATGGGCTTCCAGGGTCCACGAACTTCCGTAGGTGTGGCTAATGGGCTTTAGATTTAGAGCACAGCTTAGTAGTTATGGCTCGTGGGCTTAGTTGCCAGCAGAACGTGGATCCTCCTGGACCAGATTCAAACTTGTGTCCCCTGCACTGGCAGGCAAACTCTCAGGCACCAAAGAAGTCCCTGTAAGTCTATGTTTAACTTAAAATTTTTAAGCTTGGACAAAAATGTGTGATAGTGAGAAGCTAAAATCATCAGAAGGGTTCAAACCTGGGCTTGATCTTTGGGTCAGAAGATCCCCTGGAGAAGGGAAAGGATAACCACTCCAAATTCTTACCTTGGAAATCCCAATGACATAGGAGACTGGTGGGCTACAGTCCATGGGGTCGTAAAGCTAAAGGTGAGCTTTCATTCCAGTCCCAAAGAAAGGCAATGCCAAAGAATGTTCAAACTACCACATAA